CAGAGTGCCAAAAAATCTCTTTCATCTCCTGCATTCTCAGTAGCTCATTACTGCTTCATGTTTGAACCCGCTCTTCTTGCAGGCTCACCTGGCCCTGTTTTACCATCCTCAGATAAGCCAAAGCTTTCCAAAGCACTTTGAGATTCTCTTTTACAGATATAAAAAAATCTCTGAGATATGAAAAACTTTTTAAAACTATTTTTTAGCATAACTTTATACCACAATGTAATAAAATGCCTGATCATCCTTTAAATACAAAAGCAGCACAGATTTCAATTGTTAATGTTATTTTGGCTTCTCAGTTTGTCTCTCCTATAACTTCTTTTTTCTCTTACTGGTAAGTCTGAGGAGGAAGCCCATCCCCATCTGGAGGAGGAGGGTGTGAGTTTCTAGGGGAACAGCATCTCCCATAGTGGGTGCTACTGCAATGCCAGCTTAGTTCTGGACCTGCTCAATGCTTTAAATTGTAGCCCTCCTGCCACTTTTTTTTTCTTTTTTGTTTCTGCTTCTCCCACCGTTGGAGAATTTTTTCCCCTTTGAACTTTCCTTTCATGTAACGGTTATGTTTTCTGAGTGTAGCTCTGTGGATTCCTCGTGCTGTTCTTGTACCTTGAAGGTGAAGGTAAGACCAGCTTTAACTGTGCTTAAGCATCCTCAAACTGTGCCTTCTTTGTCCCAAGGCCCCAGGCCCACCTGGCCTAGTAAACACCGGTAAAGTAGAGTCAAGTGAATGCTGCGCAGGCAGAGCGTGGATGACATTTCTTTTCAAAGGCTGTTGCTGGGTTCACATCTTCGTGGGTAGGGGCCAGAGCTTTCTGTGTAGAGCCTGCTCTGATGCACAGCTGGAGCTGGGGGCTGCAAAGAGCAGCCTGCATTTGTTTAATGCTGATTCCCTTTTGGAGCATTTGTTTAAGTCAATGAGATGAGTATCGCCCTGTCTACTGCAGCTCAGCTCTTATGTCAGGGAGAACAGCAGTTTCAAAGCTGTACCTCTGCAGTCTGAATGCCGCTTTGAAGATGTGACAGTGGCAGGTGGGAAAACAAAGGGCCCAGCTAGGTTCCATCCTCAAACTGCCACTACAATGAAGTGCCTTAGACTCCTCAGTGAGAATAAAGTGGTCCATAAAGTCAAAGACCTGCTTCTGGAAGAGATGAAACATGTTTAATGGGTCACAACATTTTAGCCCTTACTTACCTTGGATGTTGAGTAAACATCTCCTCTGTCAGGAGTTTTTTTTCTGTCTCAGGCTCTTCCTGCCACCCCAACACAACTCCAAGCTCACAAACACTTTGGAGAAGGCATGGCTGGTCAATAAATTCTGCCTTCTTTACCTGCTTTTTTCTCTCCTAGATAGCCTCGATCTTTGATGCACCGTGTCTGCTGTAGGTACGCATCTACCTTGACAAAAGCTGTTTTTCTCCACAGCATCAGATCTTCAAATGCATGAAGGGATGGGGCGAACCCTTCTTAAGTCACATGAGTTGGAGCTTTCAGGTATAACTGTGGTTTTTTTTTGTTTTTCTCCACAGCATCAGATCTTCAAATGCATGAAGGGGTGGGGCGAACACTTCTTAAGTCACATGAGTTGGAGCTTTCAGGTATAACTGTGGTTTTTTTTTATAGGTTTAGTCAACATTTCTGAGCAAAGTTGGTACTCTTTGCATGGATTTTCCAAGGGAGTTAGATAGCATGACTAATAATTTCCTCCTGCTAGCGGGGGCATACCTGAAATTGGCTGAATTAAGCATGTCAATACAGTACAGTGGCTCCCTGTATCATGAGCTCCTAGGTACCTCAGCTGATTCAATGAGGGCTTCTAGGTTTCTTGTTACATATATTAAGGACTTAACCTTTCTTCCCCCCACTGCCTCTAAATCACCCCCTTGGAATTTTAGAAGCTCCTGGGTCCTCTTGCCCTTCATGTGGGTTTCAGAGCTCAGGTTAGATACCCAATTTGATAATGGTGGGGACGATTTTAGTAGAAAGTTGAATGTGGCTACTTGTTTGGATTTACAGACCAAGGGTGAGTTAAGTGTGCTGCAAACTTAGCTAAAACATTGCCCACATGCTATGTGATTCCATAAGATGGGATGTTATTGCATTTTGGTGATGTTTCGAGGGTAACACATTAATTTCAAAGACCAGTTCACATTTTTGGAGTTAACATTGGTGAGACTATGGGTGTAGCTTCTGACACTCCTGTGGGATACTATCTCACAGTAAATTTCCTGTTCCTTGTACAATCTTTCTGCCTGTTTTCCTGCAATGATCTCTGAGCTTTAGGTGCAGGAGTTGTGTTTGGATCTTTTGGAACTGGCCTCCACAACTCTACATTTCTATTGATTGAGGTTTTCTGTAATGGTCTCGGTTGTTGCAAAGAGAAGTTGCCTTAATGAGCCTTGAGTACTACACTCATCTGAGAATATGTGGACCAATACTTAGAACTGTGTTGGTTTAGTAAAGTGGTGGTTGTAGGTTCTCTTTCAAGATCCATGAGCTCACTATTCCAACTCACCTATGTAATAGGTATTTTTAGGTAGACTGTTAATATTATAATTCCTTATGATTTTTTAGATATCCTTGTTATTTTATCCTCCTCCCTCTTTCTTCTGTACTTATCTATTTTCTTCCTCACTAGTTAGAGTCCCTCATCCTATGTGCTATAAGGCATGGCAGTACATGTCTGTAGTCCCAGTACTCCAGAAACTGAGGCAGTTTCAAGCCAGTCTGTCTCCAGAACAAAATAGGAAAATTGCATTTGCTTCTCAAATTACAAAATAACATGAATTGGCATTTAAGATTGGCATTTAAAATGTAAATGATATAATTTCTCACATATGCCTGCAAAATTTTGCATTTTCTCATCTCAGTGTCTTTGCAGCCTGACTTGACCCATTCTACTTCCTATTCTTGTTTTATATACTCCATTGCATTAGGATTATAAACACAAATGTTTGTTTCTATTGAAATAGAATCATGCTGTGTGCTTTTTCCTTTTCACTTAATACCATGGTCATCCTTATAAATTAACAATTATGGAGCTAACATATTTCTGTTTTAGTTCATAAACCCTTTGTATACATTAAATTTTGAAATTAAAATGCAATTGCAAGAATTTTTCCTTTATTTTTCTCCCAATAATCATTCTCACACACCTCAACTCTTTAAAATTCATACCCTGTTTTATTTGTACATACATTTATCTTCCTAGATATATAAATACAGTCTGGCTTCTCAGGTCATACAATGTTACTTGTATGTATATCATCTTAGGGCTGACCACTTGGTATTGAATAAGCAACTGGGGGCCCTAGACCATTTCTCCTTCTTTCAGCATTCTTTAGTTGCTTGGAGTTCTTTGTCTAGGGTTGGGTCATGTGCTTATAAACCCAGATATTTAAATTATGTAAGCAGGTTCATAACATGATTTCCTGTAGGCAAAATACTTTTTATTTTATTGAAATATCTACACTTATTATTAATTTTCCATGTATATTGATTTATAGACTGTAAATTTCTTTTAATATATGCTATATGATTTATTCTACTGTGAGTTGGCCCTTATTAACTCTAGTTTAGTTAACAGGAAGCTTATTGAAATCAATGCCTTTTTAAATATATGATGAAGCTAATAAAGGTCACATTTCTGTCTTGGCTTGTCTGATTCATGCTACTAGGCAACACTTAACAATCTAGTTATATCAGGAAATGATGGCAGGAAAGTAGGTAAATCCCTACTGAATGACATTTAGAATTCCGTTCATCATACCCATAACTGTCAATATCATTGACTCTCAGCTTTCACGACATCTACCATATTTGTTTATTTGACTATTCCTGTTCTATAGAGTAGAATTTTTTCGCCTTAAATTTTAAACAGTTTTTTATCCATTAAACACAAGTATTGTTCCATTTAAAATGTATTTCCACATTATATTATTTGCTTCTACACTCATTTTATCTACATTTTCTCTGGGCTAAGCTCAATTTTCTATACATTATTTTCAAAACTAAATGATTTATCTGACCTCAAGTATATCTTTTTTTTATTATATCTTGTACTTCACAGCTTAACTTAGCCTGTAAACTTATTTATTTTGCTTTTTCCAGATAAATAGCACAATAATAAAGTTTTAAATTTGAAAATGGAACTTATTGGTAGACAAATACTGGTCTGAGAAATGCCATGGCATTGCCTGGTACATCCCCCGAAATATTCCCTTTTCTTATTGTGTTAATGTAATGCAAAAAGTTAATTATTGTGCTAGGTTTGAGTATCCAATCAAGGGTGTGTGGTCATCAATGGAAGTAGAAATATTTTGGCAAAGATGCTGGTAATTAGTGGAAAGTATGTGCTTAGACCATAGAGTGGTGGAGTGGAAATAAGATAGGTTTTGGAGATTGGGAGATTCCCCTCTGAGTCTTTGCTCTGTCCCTGGCCAAGTGTTTCCATGCTGACAATCTGCTACCTCTGAACTGATGTCTTCATTTGTCTACTGAGAAAAATGGCAGTAAGATATATTGTGAGGATTAAGTGTTGTGAAGTGGCATTTACTATTATAAGTGTTCGGGGTTTAGAAATTTTAAATAGTTGATAGGTTCAACAATATTATGTTACTGATTTTAAATTCCATTTTTGATATAAAAACTATTTTATAACTAATATTCCTAATACCTAATGTATCTAAACATTTAATATAAATACATAGATAAATCTACATTTAACCATTCTATCTTGCCTATATGTGTTTTATTGGTTACTTTTTTATTTATCACTTTCTTGATCCTTCTATACATATCTTCCTATTTTAAAGGTGCTTTTGTTAAAACAGTTCTTTTAAAAACACACTAATTAGGCCGAGCCGAGAATGGGAGTAGAGCCGACTGCCTGAGTCCCACACCAATCTCCTCACCGCTCTCTTCGCCTCGTTCTCGTGGCTTGTGGCCCTGTCCACCCTGTCCATCATCCCGCCAGCCACCACTCAGAACACCTTCCACCATGGCCACCTCAGCAAGTTCCCACTTGAACAAAGGCATCAAGCAAATGTACATGTCCCTGCCCCAGGGTGAGAAAGTCCAAGCCATGTATATCTGGGTTGATGGTACCGGAGAAGGACTGCGCTGCAAAACCCGCACCCTGGACTGTGAGCCCAAGTGTGTAGAAGAGTTACCTGAGTGGAATTTTGATGGCTCTAGTACCTTTCAGTCTGAGGGCTCCAACAGTGACATGTATCTCAGCCCTGTTGCCATGTTTCGGGACCCCTTCCGCAAAGAGCCCAACAAGCTGGTGTTCTGTGAAGTCTTCAAGTACAACCGGAAGCCTGCAGAGACCAATTTAAGACACACGTGTAAACGGATAATGGACATGGTGAGCAACCAGCACCCCTGGTTTGGAATGGAACAGGAGTATACTCTCTTGGGAACAGATGGGCACCCTTTTGGTTGGCCTTCCGATGGCTTCCCTGGGCCCCAAGGTCTGTATTACTGTGGTGTGGGCGCAGACAAAGCCTATCGCAGGGATATCATGGAGGCTCACTACCTTGCCTGCTTGTATGCTGGGGTCAAGATTACAGGAACATATGCTGAGGTCAAGCATGCCCAGTGGGAATTCCAAATAGGACCCTGTGAAGGAATCCGCATGGGAGATCATCTGTGGGTGGCCCGTTTCATCTTGCATCGAGTATGTAAAGACTTTGGGGTAATAGCAACCTTTGACCCCAAGCCCATTCCTGGGAACTGGAATGGTGCAGGCTGCCATACCAACTTTAGTACCAAGACCATGCGGGAGGAGAATGGTCTGAAGCACATCAAGGAGGCCATTGAGAAACTAAGCAAGCGGCACCGGTACCATATTCGAGCCTACGATCCCAAGGGGGGGCTGGACAATGCCCGTCGTCTGACTGGGTTCCACAAAACGTCCAACATCAACGACTTTTCAGCTGGCGTCGCCGATCGCAGTGCCAGCATCCGCATTCCCCGGACTGTCGGCCAGGAGAAGAAAGGTTACTTTGAAGCCCGCTGCCCCTCTGCCAATTGTGACCCCTTTGCAGTGACAGAAGCCATCGTCCGCACATGCCTTCTCAATGAGACTGGCGACCAGCCCTTCCAATACAAAAACTAACTAGACTTTGAGTGATCTTGAGCCCTTCCTAGTTCATCCCACCCTGTCCCAGCTGTCTTCATTGTAACTCAAAGGATGGAATATCAAGGTCTTTTTATTCCTCGAAAAAAAAAAAAAACACTAATTATGTTACAAATAAATTAATATTTACATTTTAAACTATACCATTATAATACTCTGAAATAATTAACTTATTTCCTACTGAGCTTATTTAAGTAAAATTCAGTTTTCTTGCTATATGAATTATACTTTCATGTACAAAATTTGCAATGGATTTATATTTAGACTTGAGGCATTAAATTAGAAAAATAACATACCTTTCAAAAGCTTTTTGAGCCTGTTGTGGTGGTGCACGCTGGTAGGATTTGCTGAAGGAGGCAGAGGCAGGAGGATCACAAGTTCGAGGCCAGCCTGGCTACACATATGCTGGGCGTTGGTGGCGCACGCCTTTAATCCCAGCCCTCGGGAGGCAGAGGCAGGCGGATCTCTGTGAATTCGAGGCCAGCCTGGTCTCCAGAGAGAGTGCCAGGATATTCTCCAAAGCCTGGTCTCCAGAGCGAGTGCCAGGATAGGCTCCAAAGCTACACAGAGAAACCCTGTCTCGAAAAACCAAAAAAAAAAAAAAAGCTTTTTGAATTTTTTGCCTCTTCCTTCTTCTCTTCCTCCTTTTTTGGCTTTTTCCATCCTCTTCTTCCTATTTTTTGTTCCCCTCTTTGTCCTCCCCATTGTCTTTCTCCTCCCTCTCCTTTCTTCTTCCCCACAATCCCGTTCTTCTTTCTGATTCCATTTCTGAGGATCAGGAAGACATCTCTATTTTTGGAGGGTGCTTTGGATCTTCACTAATAACCTACTATTTTGTAAGAATTTCTTTTGATTTTAAACTGAATTTAGTAGTTAGTTTTATTTGTTTATGAGGGTGAAAATAGATTCCTTTGAGACTGAGTAACTTTTGGATATTTACTCTTCCCATAGCACTTTAGAGAATAGCAGACTATAGTTTTATTGTTAAGGCATTTATTACCAGTTATTTCTCTATTATGGACAAATGCTATTTTAAAAAAATTGGGAATAATGATAAGCACCCTCATCCTGGTGTTGATGAGGTAAGATTCTAGTTAGTAGGAAGATATATTGACTCAAAAATGCAAGCATAAATACTTTTTTCAGGCACAATATGTTCTATATTCATATATAGGGTACAGTGCCCAACCTTGATGAAAGAGAAATTAGAATGTGGTGACCTGGGAAAATTTCCAAGCCCCAAGAAAAGACTGTACAGTGCTTGCTGAGAACAAGACTATTGGACATAAAAGTAAGGTAAGTGTGCAGATGACTCTCAGCAAAGACAATGGCACATGTTAGAACTGTTTTTCTGGAGCCCTGTTTATGCAGATGGATAAGGAACCAAGTGAGCACTTTAGGATCCTGCCTGTATCCTGTGAGCCCCTTTTCTACTCACGTATTCAAGGTTAATGATCTTATTCCACATGCCAATTGGAGCATCAATTGGGATCCTATTGACCTCTCCTAACAGAGATTCTAAAAGGGCACTGGAAGAAAGAAGTTGCTTTTTCTTGAAAGAGAAGGTGGGTATGTTTATAGACAAAACATTATTTTTATGTAGTTTATATTTTGCATGAAAAGTCCAACTCTCACGACTTTAGTCAAGCTCTGTTTGTGAAACTGTGTCCAAGAGAAAAGTGCCCATAACTGATGGCTCTCTCACACTCTGTTTCCATCTCTAAATTGGCATTTACAGCGTCATCTCATTTTCATGTCACCATCTCTGATAATGAAGCCAGAAATATTGAAAACACAACTTTTATGTTTTTATTCTTGATCTTTCCTAATAAAAGACATGTGTTTATAACTAGGTTAGTGCTTTTCTGGTATCTCTAATTATAGTACATATTCATTTTCAGCATGAACAGCTTACATTTTCATTTCCTGAATTATCTGAGCTGAAAAAATTAAGCACATCTATGAAGTTCAACTGGATCCTCAAATCTTTGTAAGGAACTCTGCCCCTAGAGACTAAAGAAAGAGAATTTTAGGTCTGTGTGAACATCACCATTAGCAAACTTATAATGTGTTAGCTTTTGAGTATGAAGAATTTATTACAAGTAATAATTATTTCTCTAGATTCCTTGAGCAGAGGGAAAGTTTGAACATTCACATAGAATAAAAACTTAAAGCAGTTTGAACTTAAATTCCATCTTCCAACTACCTGGGAAAACAAAATTACAAGTCTTAATTCACCAAGCAGTGTTACCTTATTTTCTTACCTGAATTTTTGTTATTGTTGTTTTCAGCACTGATATTTCTCAGCCAGAAAGTGGAATGTTTGGCAATCCTAGAGATGGAAATTAATGTAAAGCATTACATTCAAAGAATGTAGGTGAGTGATTTGTAGGTGAGGTTCTTAGGTATTCCCAAAGCAATCCAGTTTCCCCGGTATATTTTGCTTGTAATTCTTCAGAAAAGAGAGAAGGAACAGTTAATATCTGTGTAATCCTATAATCAGGGTGTGTGGATGTGACATGAGGGCACAGAGTGGGCCCACTAGGAAATGGACAGAAGATAGATGTTATTCTGTGTTGCCAATTGACTATCATAGGTTTCAGAAGGTAAAGGATGTGAATCTGTGTGAATAATTTATTATTTCAAAAAACACTTGACTACATGACATGAAAAACATTTAACTCTCATTCACAGTTTGGAAAGAGTTTCTAAAACTTTTATTTTAAGGATGATTTAATTTATTTCTATTATTCATCTTTATATTTAGGGATCACCCCCTTTCTAATATCTTCAACCTAGCCTTGTTTCCTCTCTTCTCCCTAGACCCAAAACATGTTTATAAGTTGACAATCTCCCAACTCTATATTCCTATTACCCCTTTCTTAGTACTTGGAAGTACTTTATGAATATGAAAGTGTGTATCATGTTTGTCTTTATCTTTATTATCCACAGTAATCATGGAGTAAGCAGGGTTTATACGTGAAGACACTGAGGTTTGGAGGAGCTTACACATAACTGATGTTCATGCATTGTGGGAGCTATGGTTCAAACTTTCCCCATTTTTTGTTAGTGATATTTTGTATAACATCAATAATTAGTTACCTCTATATTATAATATCATCTGAACAGAATCCTGTAGCTCTTAAACTTATGTTTATTATAATCAATGGACATCATTGACTACTTAATCACTTAATTTTCCAAGCAAGTATATCTGTTTCTTTTCCTGATTTTTACTATTTTCATAAATGAAAGAGTAAACCTCATGTCAATACCTACAGTCTAGATAAAATCATGGTACATATTTTTGTTTAGAAGACAATTTTTGCATAGCATTTTAGGAGGCTTATGAATTCACAGGTAGCATTTTTGAGATTTTATTTATTTTTATTTTAGATGTATAAATGTTTTGTCTAAATGCATGTCTGTGCATAATGTGTTTGTGCTGGCTGCAGATAAGAGCATTGGATCCCCTAGGACCGTAACTACAGATAGATGTGAGTGGCCACCATGTAGGTGTGGGAATTGAACCCACATCCTCTGGAAGAGCAGATAGTCCTCATAAATACTGAACTATCTCTCTAGCCCAAGAATTTCTTTTTTTCCTGACACACACAGACCTTGCCTTCCAAAACTTATGTTGATATTTAATTGGCACTATAACAGTTTTGAGAAGTGGGACCCCTATAGAAAATTAGATAGATGGGAACTTTGAATTAATATGTGGTTTCCCAGGAGCAGACTAGTCATAAAACCAACTGACATTGTTTCTTGATGAAAGGATGGAGCTTGGTCCCACATTCACTGTCTTGCATAGTCTCTTTCCCTCCACCATTGGTATGGATTTTTCCAGCATGGAAGGTCTTCCCAAGATGGTTTAGTTTTCCCCTGGACTTAAGTGCACACAAGGTGGCCAGCAGTAATGTCCATACTTTGTAAAGTTCAGTTTTATCTGAGGAAACAATTGAGGTGTTTCTCTGTCCCAGATATTTTTGTAAGACTTAAAACATTCCAGAATGTCTTACCTTAACCATATAAATGCTGCCATATCAAAAATGTCCACAGACTTAATAATATTTTATACATGGTGATACATATTGGGTATGGTTTATATCATCCACTCTCTTTTGAACACCATCATATACTTCTAGCCTTACAGGGTTTTGAATAATTCTAATCTGTATTTAGAATTAATTTACTTTTGATTCACTTTCATATTCATTACATTTTGGCACATGGGAACTCTTCCTGTGGTCAATGAGAGTCCTGTGAAAGGGTGCCTGTCTTTACCCACGGAAAATTGAAAGCACTCCAGTTGTCTTTCTTCTAGAGGAGCAGCCATACCCTGAACTATCCTGTTCCAGGAACAGAATAAATTTCTTGAAGCTAAATTTGGTCAATAAAACTGCATTTATTATGAAGTGGACTGTTGTAGAATATTATTTTAAGATGTGTTACATTTGTTTATGCTCTGGAACATTTGTTTTAATAATGCAAAAATGTGTTGCTTTCTTTTATGTTTAGCTCAAGAAGCCGTGATTCTTTGCCTGTCTGAAACAACTGATGGTCTAATAAAGAACTCAACAGCCAATAGTGAGTAAAGAGAAAGGATAGGCAGGGCTGGCAAACAGTGAGGATAAATATAAGGAGAAATCTGGAAGAAGCAGGAAGAACAGAGAACAAGGGGACGAGGGTCCTAGGGACCAGCCATCCTGCCAGCCACTAAGTAAGAGGGAAAGTAAGATGTACAGAAGTAAGAGAAAGGTAAAAGCAGAGGCAAAATGTATATGGGATAATTTAAGTTAAGAAAAGCTGGCTAGAAATAAGTCAAGCTAAGACCAGCCATTCTTAAGTAAGAATAAGGCTGTGTGTGTGTGTGTGTGTGTGTGTGTGTGTGTGTGTGTGCGTGTGTGTGTGTGTGTGTGTGTGCGTGTGTGTGTGTGTGTGTGTGTGCGTGTGTGTGTGTGTGTGTGTGTGCG